TCTCAAGACTGGTATTTTTCGCAAATACCCCGTAAGACCATGCTATATCTGTTTAATTACACCGAATGTTAACGTTCAAAAACGCATTGGTGATCGTGACGTTACAAGCGTCCAGTCGGATAGAGTATTTTTGGCAAATACCATGGCAGAGAGGGTAAAAAAGGCATTTCCTTTTTGCATATACCCCCGCGGCGTTAAAAAATGAACGATATTCATTTGATAACAGTAAATTGGTGAAAAATACACTGGCTATCAATCAATCAAAACCCAGGATTCTTACATAAGGTGTAATTATTATTAAAAATATGTCATCAATATTTTAAAATGCGTTTGATAGGTGACGATTAATCCTTGCTCTTAAAATATTCATACTTCCATACATGATTATATTATTTAGAAGACATAATATGCAAAAATTCTGACATCTTATAAAATAAGAAATTGTCCGTCCTTGAGCTTTCATCGTAGTTGGACGGAAATTGCACAGTGCGAATATTTGACGATCGAACAAAAAAGATAGTGCAGATGATATGCTTTCGAATGGTATATGATTAAGCCGTATGTTAGGTGGGTGCATTAAAAAGAAAATTGTATTGTAAATGTCACTTGTCTAAATGTTATGTTCTTCATTGAGCTCCAAGATTATGTATATAAAATAATTTTATAAACTTTTCGCTTTTATTAAATGATATAAACAAAACGAGATTTTATATTTATATTTTAAATTTTAAGTGCGTGCAAAAAATATAACACAATCATGTGAAATTTATGTTCATCCTTTAGACATAAGGTAACAAAAGTCTATCATAATAATGTGCAAAATATCGATTTGATTCTATTATTACACACTTGTATCAGGTGTCATTTCCATAAGCCAAATAGTATCATGACCAAGTTCCAATGGAGCTTGTTTATGTTATCCTTTCCCACCGTCATTTTACATTAAATTTGTAAAATTTTGGAAGTCTTTTCGAATAATTCTCTAGAAAATATTTCAATGGGTTTCAAAATTTATATTGAAAATATACACACTGTAGTTATTCATAGATAAATAAAAGAATTACTGTACCCTTACATCCAATCACAGCGCTCTTAAGTTGACTTCCTTCACCTGCCTTGGGTACACATAAGGCCAACCTAATGCTGGGAAAATGTTATAGTACCGTTTTCCCTGTAGACTGACTCTAAACCAGGCAAAATAGGCTGCTGCCCATGCACAGTATGATAAGTTTAAAGTATACATAAGCATTTTAACGAACGTTTAACTATTAGTATCAAAAGTTTTCAGCGTTACAAACAATAAATGTTATAAGAAAATGCATAAAAGTTTAGTGTGACGTCCCTTTTCACAGAACTAGTACACACTTTTATTTAGGGGCCAGCTGAGGACCACCTCAGGGGGCGGGATTTTCTCGCTGATTTGAAGACCCATTGCTGGCCTTCGGCTGTTGTCTGCTCTTTGGTCGGGTTGTTGTCTCTTTAACATATTCCCCATTTCTATTCTCAATTTTATAACTTACAGTATCTTATACATCCACCTGTATTGATTACATACAAATATTTTTAACGTAGAACAGCCAAAAAGCATTTTTTTTTTGTATTTTTGGCAACTGTATGAGTTGTTCTGATTGGCTGTTTAATTAGCGAGAAATGTGATTGCAGTAATTTGATGATGTCAAAAACTTCTTTAGCACAGAATGAAAAATGTTGTTTGGTTTTATGGTGAAACACAATTGAATCACAGACAAATATTTTGGTTTTCACTCATTTTTTTTTTCATTTTCACTGAAATTTCTGGAAAATGCGATATTTATTAAAATTTCGTCATTAATATTTTAAAATGCGTTTGGTAAGTGACGATTAACCCTAAAAAAAAAATCATATTTCCATACATATTTATATCATTTAGAAGACATGATATGTATACATGCCGACAACTTGTAAAATAAGAAATTGTCCACCCTTGAGCTTTCATCATGATTGGACGGAAATTGCACAGTACGAATATTTGACGATCGGGCTAAAAAAGACACTACTGATGATATGATTTAGCCGCATGTTAGGTGGTGCATTAACAATTAAATTTTATGGTTAATGTCACTCGTCTACTCTTCAGTAAATAGCACAAAAAGATAAAAGAAGACATGGCGTACCAATCGAAGTTGTACTCGCAGTTATTTACACAAAGTTTAAAGCCCGAATACTTTTGATGCCAACAATAAAATTGAGAATGGAAATGGGGAATGTGTCAAAGAGACAACAACCCGACCACAGAGCTGTAGCAAACAAAGACAAGATTGTGTTTTGTACTCCCAAAACTGTGCACTTGGTACCAGCAAATTTCGAGGTCGCCTAAAAAATGTAAGCTGTAATTTTTCTTTCATTTTATTATATTCAAATCCCCAAACTTCACATGAATAAAGTGAAATAGATTCTATCAACGAATCGTTCTTCTTGTTTGACACCTTTATCATTTTTAATTGGATTGGTTATAAAATTATTCTTTTTTTTTATGCAGAAAAATGTGTCAGAATACATATTTTTTAAAACATTAAAGATATTCCCTGTTATTCCAATTTCTCTTAATTTGAAATACACAGTTTCTCTCCAAACTGTTCCTTTTCTTTATGTAGATATTCTATATTGTAGTATTTTCGTAAATAGCTTCCAATACTTATTCCACGGTAGTTATTACAGTCATAAACGGAACCGCTTTTATGTAAAGTAGAGATAGTTGAAATATTCCAAATATCTGGAAATATACCAGATTTAAAAATTTTATTAAAGAGTTTAACTAGTTGCAATATTAAGCTGTTTGCACAATATTTCAAAAATTCATTGAGAATAAGGCCAAGACCTCCACTTTTATTATTTTTCAAGGATTTAAAAGCTTTTCTGACTTCTTTACATGAAATGGGTGAATTCAACATTTCAATGTATGTATCCGTTTTAAATTCAAATTTAGAGTCAGATGGGTTTTTTTTCATTTTCCTTTAATAAATTTTTAAATGATTTTCCCATTGATCTTTTTTATGTGGTATTTTTCCACATTTTTTAACTTATCACTTGTTTTCCAAAATAATTTAGGATTTGTTTCGTCAAGTTCATTTATTTGTAAAATATATTTTGAAAGAACGCACTCTTTGTTCTTTTGTTTATTTTTTCATATTCTTTACATGCCCTAAAATAATCAACTTTAAGGTCATGGTGTAAGGGTTGTTTTGTACTTTTTTACCTAAACGTCAACATCTGCCATAAAATTGGCAAACTTGCTTATCACTTAAATGGTGATGAAATATCGTTTGTTTAACCCCTTACTGCCGGAGGGACACATGATCACACATGTGTCCACACCGGTTGTGCCGGAGGAACACATATGTCCATGTTTTAATTTATGCAAGCTTCTAATCATTGCTGTATCTCTTTCAAATAAAATACCGAAGATTAAACAGTGTAATATTTTTCTTCAATGGGTCCCCAATGTAACATCATAAGGGCGTGACGTCATATATCGAATGACGTCATTGTTTGGCATGTTACATCACAGACGTCCAGCTGTCGTATTTTCTGGTACACGAAATGCAACCATATACATCTATCGACAGCAAGAAGGATATGTTACTTGATTTGCTTCTTACCTGGCCGTTGCTATTTTGTTTACAGGCGTCAATGACGTCATTTTTATGGGAGATAAATCGTGCAAAAACCAAGGGGCTGAAAAGGTTATTCACCGGGGAATAATGGTTGTTCGATGGAGGCTTCAATTTGTCGGTGATATACATCGCCCCTCCCAATTTTTGGAAAAACATCGAAATTAAACTATGACACGTTATTCCGTATTAGCCAATAAAATAATTACTATATAATGTAAGGTATAATAATGATAATTAACGCATGCACTACGCGCATTCGTGAATTAATGTGTTGAATATTTTTCGACACTGATAAAGAACTGCCGATAATTTTTACGGGGTGTAGGTACTACATTTGGTGGAACCCTACAGGTAGTCAAATATAAGACGTTTTTAATCCAGAGACAGAGAAACTGGAATTAATCAAATTTGGCGGTTGATGTTGCGAGTGTTACATCATAGACGTCGTGACGTCAACGTGAGTCATTTGCATTGCTAGGTCAGTAGCCCCGTTCATTGACGACAAGGCAGCCAAGTGATACAAATAATCGGCATTAAAGGATAAAATCGTTAGTGGATTACATATTTAATGACAGACATAATAAATAATCTACAGAATTCAAATTTTCAGTGGGAACAATCATCGAACTAGGGAAAACGAGCGTGACGTTCCACGGGGGAAAAGGTAGCAACGTCCGGCTTTACGGGTTAGCAACACCCGGGACTATGGGCTTTTTACGACGGCCATTAGCCAATCAAAATCTGAGAAATATACTAAGCCGGGGGTAATTTTCTATATTTGAATTTTTCGATTAGTTATTCTATAATTATCTCCAATTAGTACTGAGGAATAGAAAACAGGGCCAATTCAACTGTTAAACATTTCTGTACTTACATGCTTGTACACTTAGTCTTCCATCTTGTAAAGCATTAAATTCTAACTGTACATTCTGAGGAATGAAATATGATCTAATCCAGTAATTATTGGTCGACATCGCATACCAACGTCCTTGAAACTTGACAGGGTCAAAGTTTTCTTGTGTATGTTGATGAAACGAATTTGTTCGACAGTTCCTACATAGAACAAAAGAAAAGTATAGCGTAATATCAATTAAAAGTATAGATAAAAAGTCCATTTTCCAGATATACTCATAGCAGATCCCTATAGATGTTTTGTACACGTGTGGAAAAACATCTGTTACCGTATAATGTACATTATTAGTCTAGTGCAATAGTTTATCGAATAAAATTAATATACATATATAGGAAATCGAAATCCTAATATAACAAATAAAATCAGTGTTTAAACTGTTATAACTGCTTTTTTCTAAAGAGTTTATTTATAAATAAAAAAGTCATATGAATATAATGGTTATTTATCATTATTGTATGTCGATTCGTGTGTATTGCAATGTCATTGTATATGTAACAATAGTTTCGGATGGTGTCGCTAAACTTAAACTAAAACGAAAACTAAAGTAATGAACATAGAGAAGTTCTCGCTTGGACACACACTCCATTATCTTGTATATTATAGGAGCATAAACCTGAGGCACTCTTCTGTCTCCACACAGCACTAAAGACAAACTCTGTAAAAGATAAAATTGAGAATAGAAATGGGGAATGTGTCAAAGAGACAACAACCCGACCAAAGAGCAGAAAACTAAAGTAATGAACATAGAGAAGTTCTCGCTCGGACACGCACTCCATTATCTTGTATATTATAAGAGCATAAACCTGAAGCACGGGGAGGCACTCTACTGTCTCCACGGCAGGGCAATAAAGACAAACTCTGTAAAAGATAAGATTGAGAATGGAAATGGGGAATGTGTCAAAGAGAGAACAACCCGACCAAAGAGCAGAAAATTAAAGTAATGAACATAGAGACATTCTCGCTCGGACACGCACTCCATTATCTTCTATATTATAAGAGCATAAACCTGAAGCACGGGGTGGCACTCTACTGTCTCCACACGGCACTAAAGACATGCATGTTTTGAATGGGTTCGTGTTGCTTAATCGTCAGTGTTTTGTGTAATTTTTCTGGACATGGTGTTGTCTGTTTACTGGACTTGTGATTTTTTATTTTAACCTTTGGTTTTTCTCTCTCTTTCAACAATTGGGTCTGGCACCAAATACACTTTCTCGGTTTGTTTTCCGTTACTGTGAATAGTTAGATTGTACTTTTATATTTTTTTCTATGTTCTATTTTCAGTTAAAGATAAAACGAAAGCTTCAAAAGATATCCATAATTGTTCCGAATTTCTTATAAAACACAAAAATGATTTATTAGACAAACTGCAAAGATGGTTCGTTTTGCGCAATTTGGTTGTTATGCTTATGGATTACGATACGGCTTCGAAAGACTTGGTTTGATACGGAAAATAAGACTACAACCAAGGCGAAAACGTCGATCAATCAATTAAAAGATAAAGATGACTATCTTGAGGAGATGGACACCCTTAATAAGCTAAAAGTTGATATGGATGACCCAAGGTTGATCAGTTTAATAAGAAATTACTGGATAGAAAACCCGTCAGACCAACCATACAATCTAACACATCCTCATGTAATAGACCCTTCGATCGGACAAGCTGCGTTTGTTGATAACCGATTAAACTTTAAGGTACGTGTTAAACGTAGCTCTGTCTTTCTGGGTTGTCATTGGGGCCAATCACATTTCGAAATAAGACACAATTTATAGCTTTTAAGCTGAAGCTTTTCGTTTCAAATTTTTTTTCAAAAGTATTAAATTGATAAAACAGGAGATAACTCGAATAGTTCGGTTTCTTTTTTCTGGTACCAATTAAACTTTTGGTCTTGATCGTTAATTTTCTGTTGAAGGATGTACATGAAATCACAATGACTCGGTTTGCGGATATATCTATTTCTAATCATTGTGATTTTATTTGTGTTTTGTATTTCCTGTCTATTTGTATTAAATTATAAACGTTGGTGCCGATATTTGCATCTTAACTAGCAATTTGCAGTTTACTTTCCATATCAGTAAACTGGATTTTTCAGTATTTCGATTCGGATAGTAAATTGCACATTGCTACTAAAGATACAAATCTTGGTACCAAAGTTAATAATTTAATACAAATAGCAAGGAAATGCGCAAAACAAACACAATTACAATAAGTACACATTATATATATCCGGTATATCAGGTATAACTGCTGATGCCGAATCCCTGTACCAGAAACATATGTCGCGCACGCAAATTTATCTAACACCAGCATAGGCGAAAACACGTGTTAGAAAAAATAAGAATGTCTCCTTCAGTTTGTTTGTTGTTGTCAAAATTTAAAAATCTACAAAAAAACAGTTTTGGTCATTTTTTTTTTTATATATTTTGTAATTTGGTAACATGTTAAGAAATGCACCAAGCTGGAGATACAACACACTGTTGTTATAACCGAAATGTACAACCATGACGCTTTGGTACTACTTTTTCAAAATGGTCTTGGTTCGAAATAAATTTTCAGAAATTTCCCCTATGCGAGCAGTTTCTGTGGTGATTATCTCGTTTTCTTGTTCTTGATTTCCCATATTATCAATGCAGTAAGATTCATTTATGAAATTAAATAAGTCGTATATACCTTAATCTCGCTGCTTACAGGAAATATTGTTTCCTGATACGATATCCTATAACTTGATTAGCAACACACCATCTGACTCGTCAATGATGTTTGAGTATCTCAGATGATACGATATGCTAGAACTTGTTCTCTGATTAGTAACACACCATCGGACTCGTCAATGATGTTTGAGTATCTCAGATGATACGATATGCTAGAACTTGTTATCTGATTAGTAACACACCATCTGACTCGTCAATGATGTTTGAATATCTCAGATGATATAATATGTCAGAAATTTGTTCATATTATGTCGAATTCACAGAGTGTACTCTTAACTTACAACTAATTCAAACATGGTAAACTGGGTTAAATAAAGGGTTGTACAATTTATTCGGAAACCATTACGAATTGGTTGATGGTTACATTATTAAAATAAGTAAACATGATTGAGTTAAGCTATTTCAGTTGATATTTTATAGTGTGTCTTTCTATGTTGTGATGTTACACTATTGTTTCAGAAAAAGGGTGAAGGTTAATACCCGCTGCATTTGTTTGCACCTGTCCTAAGTCAGGAATCTGATGTTCAGTAGTTGTCGTTTGTTGATGTGGTTCATAAGAATTTCTCGTTTCTCGTTTTTTATATAGATTAGACCGTTGGTTTTCCCGTTTGAATGGTTTTACACGAGTAATTTTTTGGGGCCCTTTATAGCTTACTGTTCGGTGTGAGCCAAGGCTCCGTGTTGAAGACCGTACTGTGACCTATAATGGTTTACTTTTATAAATTTTGACTTGGATGGAGAGTTGTCTCATTGGCACTCATACCACATCTTCTTATATCTATGGTATATATGATTGCCAACGATCGACACAACCTTCCACCAGAGACCAAAAGACATGGACGTAAGTGTATTCTACAAACATATCTTATCTAGTCTGTAAGGGTTTTGTCCATCTGATATCGTTACCGGTTTTTTAATATTCATGACAGCGAGCTAGTTGCTACTGGTTACATGTATTGCACACTCTCCTGATTCACTCCGTTCAGGGTGAAGGTACATAGAGAAACGTTATTTATAACACGGGAATTAAACGTATAAGCACATGTATATGTATATGTATATGCATTTTGTATTTTGTAAATGCCTGAAACTTTAGCCATTTTTTATAATACCTGTAAGGTTCGGGCATTTTATTTGTTATTTCATAAAATGTTTGGATTGCTGGTTCTGTTACTCATTTGTCCCGATATTTTTGCAAATACATACATTGTTGAATATAGTCTTAGCACTACAACTACATTTGGTGAAATCCGGACCAATACAAATTTATTTCTGTTAAAATAAAATTCTGATAAAACACTAAACCATCGCAAAACATAAGGTTTCGCAAACAGCACACACAAGAATATCTTATTTTTCATGTGTTCCCAAAAGATTCAAGGTAACAGCATGATTAGATTGACTTCTTTTGGCTTATAAGGGCATTCAACAGAATGAAGCAGATCTTGGCATGGTGGGTGATGCATGCTTAGCAGCCGACACTTACCCTGTCGACACTCCCGCTCTCCCTTCAGTTTTTTAGAGTGCATGAGATTCCCTCCGGTTTTGTTTCAGTAATCTTATTAAATCGTGTCTTTTATGGTCGTTTTTCGAGATTTCAACACCGGTAAAGTAAAACTACTGTCGCCTTAATTCATCAGATTGTAAAAATTTTACGTTCTTTCTGAATGGAGACATTAAATATAATGCCTCGTGTAAGGGAAGTGCCACGCTCTCTGCATGTTAGGAACTCTTTGACCTTCAGTAGGTGGCCTGTTGGAATGCAATACTTCTGTCCCTCTCAAATATGCATTAATTTTTAGCGAAGAAAAAGAATCATTATAGACATATACACTTTCCCAGCTGGTATTTGACGAATAAACTTAATTTAATCGAACCATTAGTGTTTTTACATGATATTGTGTTTTGGGTCATATGAATCACAATGATATCCTTTTTTCTACAAATTACCTAAAACTGTGCCTACAGGCAATTTGTTGAATGTTTGTTTTCAAAATTTCAGTCATTTAACACAGACTTGGTATTTTTAGTCATTTTACAAATTGCATAAATTTAGAAAATGCCTGTAACATATATATGTTCTAAGTACAAAGAACATTAATTTTATTTCTAAATGGTGCGAACCAGCAACATTGAGCAATTGTTGTTGACATTTCAATGACTTGTTTTCAAGGTGGAAACTTCATATTTCTGAGCTGAGAATATAAAGTGTATAGATAATCTTTTTCGACGAAACCAAAAATTGCCTTATTTCAAGACTGTAAAGATTGGTACGTTTTATGGTGTAGTTTGATAAAAAAAAAAATTGGATTGTAAATTGCAGAACTCAAAACAGGAAATTTCGATGCAGGAATCCAATTTACTAATAATACTTTTCATTTAAATTTTCAAAATTATTTGATTTTATCTTATATTTACTTATATTTTTAAAGAGATGGAACATTTTAGTTTGATTTCATATTTTTTTTAATTAGCTTATAACGGGGAGGTTAATCAGAATTTGTACAATTTATAAAGGAATCTATAGTTTATTTTATTTTATGTTATAGCAGGAAAAAAAGTAAGGTGACCCCATTTTTTCTTTTTATATTATGAAAGCATTTTTAAGAGCTTTCTTCTAATATTCTATTTCAAAATTCTATCATTTAGTTTACATTTAATGCTTTTTCTCTGCATGCATAATACACACAAAATATGTATTTTTTTTCAAAATCTGTAGCTTGACACAAGCTCGGTGAATTATCATATTTTTTTAACATATATGCTACATTTTGGCAAAGTATGAAAACATTTATTTTTTTTTGTTTCTACTCCCATACTACCTTAAATTAGCTTTCAGACTAAAGCTATATATATATATAACAACGACTGAAGTGGGAACGTATGAGTAGGTTATACGTATATTTGCAGCCACGTGTATATTTATCAATTATGGACTATTGACGAGGTCCAGGTGCGTAGCTAGGTATCCAATAACCAGTAGGCACAAATTGCGTGAAGGGTTCTGGGGCCGCCTAAGGCCCCTTCAGGTCCAGGGTAGATCCCTGGTAGGGGGTTCAGGGGGCCAAGCCCCCGACGGAAAACGGTTTTCAGCATTTTTAGTTGCAAAATTTTGTGTACAAAAAACATAAAATTTACTAGTAATTTTATCAAAATAAACATGAAGAAAAGTTCGAAGAATTATAAATAATTTTACAATAACATCTGACTGATGAATTAACGCAGTACAATCGGAAATCTAAAATATAAACTATCTACAATATGCATTGTCCAGCGTAGATCAGCGTAGCCCTTTAATTAAACAGTACATCCTAATTAGTGCTTTCAAATCTATTCCTTTCTGATTGATGATAATTGATATATACCTCAATTGATAGTACATATTGACGATCCTTCATAAAAAAATAGGCACGTAAACACTGAGACTATTATGTAATAATACCATCCTTTGGGCTAGGCATCGACCATTCATCTTTTGATTCTTAAACCTTCACCCTCCCCGGCCACACAAACACATACACACACACAGTCGATGCTTAATGCAGCCAGAAGTTCGATTCTGTTCATACTATCTAACAAAATTCAAGAAATTCATATTTTCTGATATCCTGTACTGTAAAATTACTACCTGCTAAGGAATTTGATTAATTATGGTCATTACACGTAGATCTGAGAGTACTCGAAGTTACTGAAAGCTTGTTGATTGATTGATTGCTAAACGTCCAGTGGCAAATAGTTCATGCATGTTCAGTACAAAAACAAATTTACAATAAATACAACATCTAGGTCCTGTTATAAGGGTTGTCCAGGATGAAAAAATGAGGGTTTATTTGATGGAGACAGAAATTTTGCCTTTCAGTAGACCACCTACCGACCCCTCAAAGAGTTGTTGCAAGTGTTCTTAACGTGGCATTCTCTCTACACACGGCATCGGATTTAACGTCCACATCCTGACCAGTCGTGACTGTGTATTTATACATTCCGCACAGCCAAACGGACGCCCTACTTTGGCAAGGGTTTTATTGTAGGTCGGATGAAGATTAAGTGGAAAACTAGTTGAAAGCTAACAACAACTAATAAAAAAATCATGCATCTAAGAATAAAATGTCAGGGTTTTGAGCATGTTGAGGTTCATTCAAGTATTTGTTGATAAAAGTGAAATGATCTGAACCAAAGTTCTAGTTTTTAGTTTCTATATAAGGTGGAATATAATGTTCATACAATTCTCTCCAATACTCCATTTATTAAGGATGGTAGACTAGTGTACAAATGACACTCGATAACAAATGACATTCGATAATTAAAGAGTTTTGGCGACTTCGCGTGCATCTTCAGATAACGTTGTCATTATTTTTTTTGATAAAACAAAATATTTGTGAAAAAATTATGTGTAAGCAGCTATGCCCCTGAGGTCTATACGTTATGTATGGACCTGTTCAGATTATATTGACCGAGGACGAAGTCCATATATAACGTATTGACTGAGTGAAAGTCCTTAATTTTTATATTACATATGAAAATAGTGTTTGGAAATGATAATGACTCGATGTTACTATTTATAGTAACAAGTAGTCAATATCATGTTTTAAAAATAGTAGCGTCGAGTCAATATGTCAAAATAGTGAAAAATACAAAATATGTAGTGGAAAACACGTGACCAAAAATACCAATGAAAAACAAGAAAAATCAAACCATATGTGATATTAAATAATGATATGATTGTCCCAAGTTTAGAGTATTTAACGACAATTGCGTGTATCTTTCTCAGACTTAAAATGCTTAATATTCAATTGTTTTATTGAAATATACTTTGCCATCAAATTAAAAGTGACACATCCAAAAAGAACATTGTGAGCTCCATATGTAGAGGATTGTACAGTATATGAAAGATATACTATATAGGACTCTAAAACCTTATACAGTTGATATGATATCCTTGATCACAGTTTTCATTTATCTTTGATAAAAGTTATTACATTAAAAAGTTCCATCATTTCAATTGAAAGACGCCTTGCAACTAAAAAATTGTTTTATGTGGTACGCCGTACACCACTGTACGATTTGTCCTACAATAAACATAAATTGCTTGATCCATAACCTTTCAACTGTAGATGGTCAGTAAATTTTGAAGTCATATTATTGTCGTATTCAAAATTCTAACAAAATAGTGAAAAAAAGTTACATTTCTGGTCTGTGTGGCGGCGGAAGACGATGAACTCCGAAAAATTTTACAAACCATTTTGTTTGGTACTTTTCGGCATAAAAAAGGCAGCCCGTATATGAAAAGTATTACACAACCGTTTAACCTTCGTAAATCTATAGAAATGATTTAAACGAAAGAAAATCTTAACTTATGACTTATCGCCAAGATCCTCACTTAATATACATGATACCCTATTTCCGGTGTTGGGGATAAGCTGATAAACTTTATTATATATTGCTATTTCAGAATGACGGATTTTTCGTGGAATGTGGAGCACTTGATGGGGAAACCAGGTCAAATTCTTTAATATTTGAACGCACGAGAAGTTGGAACGGTCTTTTGGTTGAGGCTGACCCATCAAACTACGAGCTAGTGAAGAAAAAGAACAGAAAAGCATTTACCATTAACGCTTGTCTCAGTATTTACCCATATCCAGTAAAGGTATAAGTGTTAAAAACTAAGGTTGCATAACGAGTGAGAATTGGATGCGAACCTCGCTTTTTAAATTTGAAAATGTAATTGTCTCGAGTGGAGAATATTGTATCACCCTCGATGCAGTGGTAGAAATATTTTACCGTTTAGCTTATCTTATAAATAGCTGAATTGTCGGTTTTTTTTTAGAACGAGGAACTTGCTGGGTTGTTTTTATGGAGTTACGTATTACCATCTTTGTATATCTAGCGTAGACGCATTAGTGTCAGTATGAATTATGATGGACTATCAAAGTAAGTTCTGGAATCCATTGTAAGGATTTAATATAATCAGGCAACAATTATTATACTTCAAAACGTATGTTCAGATGCTTCAAAACATATGTTCAGATGCTTTAAAAAGTCAAAACCATATATAAACAGATACTTCAAAACACATTTTCATTACAACTCACTTGGATTAGTTATGGAACCTTTACATAGATTCTGAATAATCCGTGTAGGTTACAAAAACTGTCACTTCACTATCTCCACATTACAAGGTACGGTTTATACATCATAGGTCAATATTACTCGGCCAAACAATACCGTTGTCAAAGATAAGTACAGATGTGCGATAACCATTGCGTGAAATGTGATGTCAAAAACATATTAGCTCTTTTAATAAAGAGGAAGGACCAAATGATATTTCCACTTAATTACTTCACACCATACAGGGTCATTTCAAAATGTCTTTCAATCTTTAAGCAGTTTCAACGCTTGACAAGTGCAATTTCTGTTAATTACAGTCCCGAAGAAGACACAATCTGTAATAAAGATTTTACTTTAAAAAAAAAACACTTTATTAGAAATATAATCTGCACTGGTCACTACAACGTTGTCTTAATTACTTTTTTTTAGTATCCCATAGATTTTTGTAATCACTTGTGATGATATGTTTCAGATGCAATTCAAAAAAAATTTCAATGAAGGTAAGATAGTACAAGACGAGAATTCAAAAGGAGAAAGCACAGTGCATGTCCAGTGCTTTCCTTTCTATTCAATAATGAAGGCTATAAACGTGACACACATTGATTTCTTCAGTCTTGATGTGGAGGGAGCTGAATTACAAGTTTTACAAACTATACCATTTGGTAAATTAGACATTGAAATGATGACGGTGGAATTTAAACACGTTCCAGGAGGAGAAACACAATTGAAAAACTTTGTAGAAAATAATGGGTACTCCTCTCTTATCAAAATGTCCCATTACAATAATTTAGCAAATGATATAATATTTAGAAAGAAGTAATAGGAAGTTCTTTATCGTCAAGGGCTTTGCATGTTTGGTAGAAATTAATTTACTTTGCCTTTTTTTTCATCTTGTTATACATTTTTTTTTATATGACGTCTCTTTCTGAATGATTCTAATGATGTACATCAATCAAACAACATTCAACCAATGATAAATCTTTTTATTATACTCCATGTCAAAATGCCAGACTTTGATTGGTTTGATACGAGGGAGACAATTTACTTTATTATACTTCATGTCAAAATGCCATATTTTGATTGGCTAATACGAGGGTGTTAATTTACTCTATTACCCTTCATGGAGACGCTTGGTCAAGTGTACGCTTTATTAAATACGACTCTATTCTATGGCAAATACTCTATTACCCTTCACGGAGACGCTTGATCAGGTGTGCGCTTTATTAAATACGACTCTATCCTATGGCAAATACTCTATTACCGTTCACGGAGACGCTTGATCAAGTGTGCGCTTTATTAAATACGGATGGTTGTTATGTACAAGACGTCATAGTTTATTACTTTGAATTTGAAATTTAATCGACAGTAATAACAGAACATTCAGTACAATAAATTAAATAACACATATCTGAGAAGGTGATAGAGCAGATTGCCCAGGATGACAATGTCTTTTCGAGGGGTTCGCCTAGGTTGACAATGTCTTTTCGAGGGGTAACAATCCGCTCTATCACCCTCTCAGCTATGTGTTATTTATATATTAATAGTCATTTTCTATTCTACTTAACACTGTAAAGTCGTGTGTATGCCACGCCAAAGCAAAACACAAAAATTATCATGCCGAGATACTTCAAGTTGGATTCTCGCACAAAACCTTAATATAGATTTTTTTACAGAGATTACATTTTTACTTGTATTAACTCATGCGTTATCGAGAAAGAGATACCGTTTCTTTCATTAAAAACTCATCAATAGCAACATACTGTAAAGTCGATTTGGTTTATATTTATGTTTAATTCATTGGTTATTTTGTTGATTTGAAATCTAATGGTCATTGGTTTAAAAGAAAAATGTCCAAACCAGTTACTTTATTATATGTTTAATAAAAGGAGATGTTGGATAAAACAAGCAATCGACGAAAAGTCCAAAACTTTAGAGAAAGTAATAAAGCAAAAAGTCTCCATTTCAATGTTGTCGTTCTATTAATTGTTTTGACTTCATCTAATAATCTCCCATTTTTATTCGCAAATGTCGTTAATGGATATACGAAATAATTAATTTTCATGTGTAACATACAAACTCGTAATGGCCGGTTGCGTGGAACCCTGTGTCTCGCCTTAAATTGCTGCTCATCAGCGTAAAAGTGTAATGTTGACTGTAAAATGTGAATCCCTTTATCAGTCAAATACGGAATTTAAGAATATTTCATTCTTTTTCTTCAGATGCCTTTTCTTATAAGCTTATGTTCAAGTTTCATCACACACAATCTGTGAAGGTTTACAAATTTATCATGTCACAAAAATCTAATCCCAGACAGTCTGTTAATTGCAAAAAATAAATCCGTCTATCAGTAAAATACCGAAAAAAGAAAGAAAAAAATATAATTTCTAAATTTTGCTTCAGACAATATATCTTAATCATAAAAAAACGTTCTGCCAAATTTTCATAAAATTCTATGAAGATTTGACAAAGTAATTGATGTGTAACAAACTTTAATCTTAGTCTGTATCTAGTTATCAACTGCATAAAACAAATCCTTTAATCAGGAAAATTAAAAACATCTTTTTATAATGTTCTGGATACTGTCTGCTGGTCATAAAAATCCAAATGTCCAATCTCATAAAATTCCATGAAGATTTGACACAGTTGTTGATCTTTAAAAAGACTTTGATCACATATTGAACCTAAATGTTGACAGAGACATATAATACAATTATATGTCTCTGATGTTGACGACGCCGACGGAATCTAGGATCGCGATGTCTCGCTTTCGCACATAAATATCGCAGGCTCGAATAAATGCAAACCACATATCGTATCTCAGCAGATAATGAATTGCTTTAAACCATAGAAAATGAACAAATATATAATATGATACCATTTGATTAAAAAGTAAATTTCGTCACTTTTAGAATTAAAAGGCTTTTAACCAGTTCTTTTAATTTATTCAGAAGGAAATATTTTTTCTCCAAATTTCATGTGTACGCCCGGGCGTTTTGACGTAAACGTAGCACTACGCGCCTGCAAGAAATTAAAAAGTTTAAAATTTGTGTTTAAGAACGGCCATTTAATATTTTGGTGGTGGTGCCGGGTTAGGGGGTGGGGTTGCGAAAGCGGAATATTCATTTTCACCCGTTGCTATAGGTTAGATTTTTTTTCAAATTTGTACACAACCATTTCTTACATATTGTGAGGCAGAATGTCATACTCATACACTCCAATCTGATTAAATTCAGACCTATATTTACTCACGTGCTCGTAAATATAACCTCATATGAGTATATTTTAATTAGACTGATTCTCATCCTGTCTTCGACAAGATGATTTTTATTCAGTTCTTACCAGGCAAGGATATTAAGTTTCCAAAATCCCACACCCACAAAAAATCAAATGGTCGTCCCTGTGCGACCATTTCATCAGAAAAGAGGACGTTTAAACTACTAAGTCGTACCTGATCATCTGCTATCGTCAAGTCAGTGTCTAGACTGTTTACAGTTTATCTGAATTACACAAGACTCTGTAAACCACCCCCCTTTATATCAGCTCATAGCAAGTGTTCTTATACTATAAATTATCTGCTCTTTTGATAAGTGCACTTACTGCCATTAGAATATCATTAGAATATCATTATTCAATATTGTGACTGTATCTAGTTATCAACTGCATAAAACAAATCCTTTAATCAGGAAAATTAAAAACATCTTTTTATAATGTTCTGGATACTGTCTGCTGGTCATAAAAATCCAAATGTCCAATCTCATAAAATTCCATGAAGATTTGACACAGTTGTTGATCTTTAAAAAGACTTTAATCACATATTGAACCTAAATGTTGACAGAGACATATAATACAATTATATGTCTCTGATGTTGACGACGCCGACGGAATCTAGGATCGCGATGTCTCGCTTTCGCACATAAATATCGCAGGCTCGAATAAATGCAAACCACATATCGTATCTCAGCAGATAATGAATTGCTTTAAACCATAGAAAATGAACAAATATATAATATGATACCATTTGATTAAAAAGTAAATTTCGTCACTTTTAGAATTAAAAGGCTTTTAACCAGTTCTTTTAATTTATTCAGAAGGAAATATTTTTTCTCCAAATTTCATGTGTACGCCCGGGCGTTTTGACGTAAACGTAGCACTACGCGCCTGCAAGAAATTAAAAAGTTTAAAATTTGTGTTTAAGAACGGCCATTTAATATTTTGGTGGTGGTGCCGGGTTAGGGGGTGGGGTTGCGAAAGCGGAATATTCATTTTCACCCGTTGCTATAGGTTAGATTTTTTTTCAAATTTGTACACAACCATTTCTTACATATTGTGAGGCAGAATGTCATACTCATACACTCCAATCTGATTAAATTCAGACCTATATTTACTCACGTGCTCGTAAATATAACCTCATATGAGTATATTTTAATTAGACTGATTCTCATCCTGTCTTCGACAAGATGATTTTTATTCAGTTCTTACCAGGCAAGGATATTAAGTTTCCAAAATCCCACACCCACAAAAAATCAAATGGTCGTCCCTTTGCGACCATTTCATCAGAAAAGAGGACGTTTAAACTACTAAGTCGTACCTGATCATCTGCTATCGTCAAGTCAGTGTCTAGACTGTTTACAGTTTATCTGAATTACACAAGACTCTGTAAACCACCCCCCTTTATATCAGCTCATAGCAAGTGTTCTTATACTATAAATTATCTGCTCTTTTGATAAGTGCACTTACTGCCATTAGAATATCATTATTCAATATTGTCAAAAATAATATAAAATGTCTTGTAAAGTATCACAAAAACTCATGTGAGACATCAGTATACTATAGAAGAAGAAGAAGAAGAAGAAGAAGAAGAAGAAGAAGAAGAAGAAGAAGAAGAAGAAGAAGATATTTTATTTCCAATTATGGGCCCAAAGGGCATAAACATTACAACATCAATAATTTTCATAATACAATACAAGCAATGAGATAAAAAAAAAAAGATTAATGAGAACTATTTAATTTCTTAAATTTACCTTATACTCTACTCTTTCACAAAATCTAATAAACTAGAAATTAAGTTGGTATGAGATCATCTTTTGTTCGTTATTGCAAATTATTTATCGTCAAATTTGGTACTGACTTTACGCCTCTAATTTTGGATCTTTTAATCTATTCTAATTAAATCTATTTAATATTTAAAACCATTTGGAAGCGTTGTTCGTACGGAAACTAAACCTAGCTTTCCGGTATGTTATTTTGTGTATTATTTGTTACATATAGTATTATAAAAAACGTTTTTCAACCTTTGATATAAAAGCAAGCATTGTATGGATGTTAAATGTAAACAAACACATGTTAACTTCAAAGAAAGTACGTATCGTAAGAATTTTGCGCGCATGATTTGCTTTTTAACCTTTCATTTGCCAAATCATTCATGATCATCTATCTTAACTTGTTGAATATTGCCCAGAGACATATGCCATATGGGATACATATGCCTATCTAATAATACAGCCTCTGCTATGGCATATGATATACACATGGACTCGGTTAGCAGATTAACATTTTATTTATCAATGTTTTTCAACTGCACATTGCTAGAAAAACAAAAAAATATTGATGACAACAATAAAAACGTTAATAATGTAATACAAGTAGATAGGAAATACGAAAAAAGATTTGAAAAACATTGATAAATAAAATTTTAATCTACTAACCGAGTCCCAGTGATGATATATACTGAGAAGAGTACTAGTCTCAAGATACAAGATGATTAGATCAGTATTAATAGCGAGACAAGATGAGTCATGCACAGGCCCCCTTTTTAATTTTTTTTTTAAATAAAATGATTTCTTAATATCTTATGTACCCTTTTGTTGTTTCAATGCTGAACATATGGAAATTTTATAGAAAATCCACAGCCTTTCCCCTTTTATTCTTATATTTGACCATTTGGTTCTTAATAGAAAGAGGATTATTACATGCAGTACTAGCAATGATTTTCTTTAAACAAGTCTATGAATTAAGATATTTGTTAAAACAAATATAAATATAGACCAATTCAAGTACACCTTCTAGGGTGCGCTCAACTTTAGTGACTCAGCAGGAGGTTTTTGGAATGTAAAGGTTGTTTATATATAATTAGGACTTTTTGTAAACAATAAACTCTAGCACATCATGTCATAGACAAACAAGTGAGCAATCTATGTTTTAAAAGTTTATAACGAAAATCTCTGTATTAAAGTCTGTGGATTTTCTACATAAATATTGGCTTTATTTGCCACAAAATTCCCATTTTCTATTAAATGCAGTAAAATAATAAACAAAAAAGCTTTGAAGGAAGATTTCCTTTGATATATGTACAAAATAGCACATCTCTATTATTCATTATCTTTGCTGTATTGATATTATTGCACTTTGAAAATTTCGTAATACACATGGCTACAGAAGGGGTCATAAACCTTAACAGGAAAATGACATTTTTAAATTTCATTACAATACATTGCAATAGCTTATGAATCATTCAACCAATGTTTTTCAATTTTGTATATGTTGTTACTGATGACAGAATATAGGTCAAGTTTGATGTTTATTTTCACTTTTTAACATTTAAGATCCCCCTTTTTAACATATTCTTGCTATCATCTTTACGATTTAACAATATAAATACATGTAGTAACTCGAATAATTACAGAGCCCCCTTACAGTCATTGTCCTCCAGATGTACTGATCGAAGTAAGTGAAATATAACGACTGGATTTTTCGGGTTATATAAACAGCATTAAATGCTGCCCCTATATTGTGAAGAATGTTATCAAGGACCATAACTCCTGAAGGGTAAAAGTGAAAATCTTCAATATCGAAACTTGACCTCCATTTTGTCATCAGTAACAACTTATTAAGATTTGAAAAGCATTGGTTTAACAATCTTAAATTATTGCATGGGAACTGTTGACAGCCACCAGCCTACTAAACCATTTTAATATCCATATTTTTCCTTGGGGAAAAAACGGCTAATAAAAACTACTCAAAAGTCAAAAGACCAAGATTAAGAATTTTTTTAACCAAATTAAGGCATATAGTAAATCAATGTTATAGAACAAGAACAAGATAAAATTGAGAATGGAAATGGGGAATGTGTCAAAGAGACAACAACCCAACCAAAGAGCAGAAAACAGCTGTAGGCCACGAATGGGTCTTCATCACAGTGAGAAAATCAGGCACCCAGAGGTGGGCTTCAGCTAGCCCCTTAACAAAAATGTGTACTAGTTCAATGAAAATGGATGTCACACTAAACCCCAAAACATATAAATGGACTTGAATTAAAAACATACAAGACTAACAAAGGCCAGAGGCTCCTGACTTGGGACAGGTGCAAAAATGTGGCGGGGTTAACATGTTTTGTGAGATCTCAACTCTCCCCTATACCTCTAGCCAACGTAGAATCAACAAACACACAGCAATATGCACAGTAAAACTCAGTTTAAAAGAAGTCCGAGTCCGATGTCAGAATAGGTAACAAAAGAAACTAAGCAAAATGACAATGATACATAAATTAACAAAGGACTACTATCAGTGATTGACATGCCAGCTCCAGACCTCAATTAAACTGATTGAAAGATTATGTCTTCATCATATGAAAATCAAGCACAATTCCTCCCATTAGGGGTTTAGTGTCATACAATCATAAAATATATGAGAAGAACATAACCTGTATCATGCCAACAACTGGTTTTAGAATAAATGTGTTTATTTCCGATGCAAAGACTCTATGAGTGAATCAATATTAAAACCAAAATATGCAATCCTTAATGACTTGAAAACAGTATCGTAACTATATCCCTTCTGAATAAGTCTGTTTAAAGGTTTGGTTAGCTTTTGAGGTGAATGTCGACATTTTTGTGCTTTGTATAGAATATTACCATAAAAGGTTGGATGTGAAATACCCGAATGTATAAGATGTCTGCATGTTGAATTATATTTACGAATGATGTCCTTGTACAGATGATAAAATTTAGTAAATGTTTTGACTAGTTTGTGATATGGAAAACCCTGGTGTAATAATTTTTCAGTAATACAGAGGTTTTTTTTGTTAAAATCAAATACGTTGTTACATACACGAGCGAATCGAACAAGTTGAGATATATATAGACCATAAGATGGTGACAAGAGAATGTCACCATCTAAAAATGGACAATTAACAATAGGAAATGAAAAACCATCTCTTTTATCATAAATTTTGGTATGAAGCTTCCCGTTAAAGATATAGATATCAAGTTCCAGGAAAGGGCAGTGTTCATTATTTAAAGTCAGTTCAGCAGGATAAATCTCTTTAGTGTACATACTGAAGTCGTCATTATATCATCCAAATATCTAAAAGCTTTATTAAATTTTTGTATCAGATGTTGTTTCGATGGGTTTTTGCTGATTTTAGTCATAAATTGTAACTCATAACAATACAGAAACAGGTCCGCAATAAGTGGTGCTCAGTTAGTCCCCATTGGAATTCCGATTACTTGACGATAAGGAATCTCCATAGCATACAAAAATGTTATCTAGTAAAAATTCAAGGGCAGTTATAGTGTCAAAGCAGGTCCAATTGACATAGTTCTTTTGTCTGTTGTTACTAAAAAATGACCTAAAAGAGTTAGAACATATATATTGGCATTCTGACATTTTAAATGCCCATTTAATTAGATGTGTGATTTTTTTCTTAATAAGATTATGAGGCAAAGTGGTATATAGGTTAGAAAATTCAAAACTTTGAACAGATTCGAAATTACCAATATAAGCATGCAATTTATCAAGTACTTCCAACGAATTTTTAACACTCCAAAAGTATATAATTCCACTATTTTCAAAGAACATATTTTATTAACAATTAAGGGTTCACAAGGGGCATATAGAGAATACATGTATAAGGAAAACAAACATTTATTAGCATAGATACATAGAATTTAGATACACAATCACAATACAATTAGACTGCAATAGAGCCCTTGGTTTATAGTATATAATATAGGTACATGAAAAATGAATAGATCTAAGTCATATTGACTTTAATAAATTTTCCAACAGCATAAAGGACCTGATTGTCTTAACAGCTTAATAAATAAATGAAATTTTGCTGATTTTCCAGTAAAGAAAAGTTTGGATTTTTTTGGCAAACAGAGTCAAAGAGGGCATGGAGTTAAAAAATGGGTTTCATCTTCAACACAGCCAGAGGAGCATTTTTTGCAAATTCTTTCATATCGTGGAATATTTGAAAAACGACCAATTTCAATTTGAAGCTTATGAGCAGATATACGTAATTTGCAAATAGCTGTTCTAAAATCAAAGTTCTTAACCAAAGAGAAACATATATAATAACAATATAAATATTCAACAGTGTAGGAATAATAAGCCTTAATTACATCAGTGCAACAGGCAGCTATTAGGTCCAGGACACAGTTATGGTCTTTTGATTTTCGTTGTCTAAAATAGAGTCCCAAGTGTGGACAGTGTAGGACTTGCATGCAATTTTTACCTATTGTCAAATAAAAATATGGTTAAGCAAGAAAACGATAGGTCAAGCAATAAACTAACTATATCTAAACCCTCTCTCATCACTCCAGTCAAAAACAACAGAACATATGTACAATAATTCAGGTTGTGGAGGTAAATGTACAGGCTGCGTTATAAAGAATAGTTGTTGAATAAACTTTAATAACAAATAGAGAAAGCAAATGAATGCTTGATACATCTGATTTTTTTCTCCAAATGTAGTCAATAAGAAAAAAAAACAAAAAAACAAACCAAACCAAACAAACAAGTTTTGTACGATTTTACAAAGCGCGAAAATCAAAAGAAAGAATAATTATACCACATACTAAATATTTTAGTTATTTTAAATGAAAGAGAATGAGAAAAGTATGTTTGAAGCTTTTAGTTTAGAATTTAATGTTCCTATTTTTTTTAAAAATCAACAGTATGTTAATCGAGTGAACCTTTTTGAAGTTCACACATCTTACCCACTTGAACAATTTTGGTAAATAAACAGTTTCACGTGGCAAGTATTTTTAATTGATAATTGAGGAATATGTTCATTTATTTCGTTAAACGTAGGTTGCATTATTGTTATTGTTTTTTTAGAGATAAAATAATACTTGACAAAGATAATTTTTATACGCCCGTTTACGGGACGTATTATGGTATACCGTTGTCCGTCTGTCCGTCCGTCGTCACTGACATGTCGGACATTAACTCAAAAACGCTTTAACCAATTTGCATAAAACTTTGGTGAATTGTTTATATCTATTGACGTGAGCTCCCTTTCGTTTTTTATAAATTTTAGATTATACCTTTCCGAGTTATGGGGTTTTATTCATTAA